TAACAGAGGCTGACTGGAGGCAATGAAATCCAAAGAGCGAGCTGAGAACTGTGGAATGAAACTGGCGCAAAATCCCCCAAACCCTAATAATATGCAACTTCTTCCAACGCACATCAGCAAGCTAATCAGGCGTAAAAGGACAGAAAACATAAAAACAGAGGCGAGCTGAGAACAGGGGGTGGTTACCGTATAGCCCCTAAGGATTTGTGGTCGAGAGAAACCAACAACGGTCCAAAACAGGAGGGAAGCCAAAGAGAGACCACACACGACAGGTACAAAATAGCTGGAAACTCGGTCGGCCAGTTGCTGGATAGGCGCCTAGAATGCAAAAGGCAGTAATTTGTAAACAGCAAAACGAGTAGGGGCACGGAAGCAGCAAAAGAGTTAAAGAGAGAACGTTTAAGGCAAGTAAGAACCATCATAGTCTCCTGAGCTAGTCACGACAATAGTTCTTGAGCACTGAGTACTCATCACGAGCAGACCGTCTAGTGCGGCTTCAGACCAGACATCAATGCCAAAATGGAACGGCCATGTATCTTGTCTTGAAATCAGGCTAACCCCTTGCACGCCATCCTCGCGTGATTCTTAGAGGTCGCGATGGTAGCCTAAAAGAGTGAACAGTAATCAAATGGCAGACGGCTAGGCGTTACGAACAGCTATACCCAGACTTACATCTCAGACAGTCCTCATCTGAGCAGGGTTGACCGAGAGCGCGCGTAAAGCAGAAATGACCATCCAGTTCTCGCTCGTCCTGGATTATTCTTATTATCGATGTGTCCTTCACGGTGACAAGAAGCATACGCAAAGAAATGCATGGCTGCCTGTGGCTGATGTACTTCGACCCCAAGACTTGTATCAACTGTGGGAAGGAGCCCATAAAGCTTAATTCTGGCTGAAAAGCAGCAATCTGAGGATACTGAGGCCACAGCACGGAGACTTAACACTAAAACTTCACGCCTAGAGCTTAGAATAAGATATCCAGAATGCAATAGGAGAGAGCGGGGAGGGGGGGGCGGTTTGTACCTTTGAGGACTGTGCGTCTTCAACAAGGGAGACTATCTGCGTTAGAGCAGACTCTGATCCAACGTGAGTGGCCTGTGCGTACAGTAGGCCGGTCAGATTGATCGAACCGCCGATCACATCGTCACCTGTAGGATACAAAAAATACTCTTCATGAGACGTATCGAAGAAAGTTGGTAGGTGTTTTAGCAGATTTGAATAATTCATTGCATTCACTTGTGAAAAATTCGGCGGCCTCGATGGGATTCGAACCCACGCCAGCCAGAGAAGGCTTTTGTACAGCCAACGCTCTGACGTGGGCTCAAATTGCATCGAGGCCGTAGAGTTTTCACAAGTGGTTCAAATTAATATTGAAAGATTTCAAGCGGAACACACTACTTCTACCATTAGTAGCGGCCATCAACTACTACAAATTACAATGGGGATGTGGAAGAGAGACTTGGCGACAGTTGCCAAGGGAACAAGGATTTTATACGAAGTAACGATTCCAAAAAAACCTGGCGATAAAACAAAAGAAGGTGCAGCAGTTGGCATAGAGGCAAGCGACGCCGCAAGAAAATTATTCTCGAGGTATAACTACAGAAGTTTTTTTGTGCCAAAAGCTCTCACTATTGATTTTAAGAAGGCTTTATCCAAGACTATAGTACCTTCGTTGGTGACGACACATTAGAAGTCTAGGCAAAGATAGTTTCAGTAGTGCCCTTCATATACCCCAAGTTCCGCATTTTGTCTTACGGAAACGGTGGTTAAAGGGGTTTTGGGGGCGGAGAAATAAGATAGGCAGAGAAGGAAATATGTAGAAGTAGGTGGACAGTGCAAAAATGAAGTTTAATTTGTTTCCCGCGGCCGCTGGGAGTAAGTTATTCCGCGTGGAAATTGAAGGCCTCTTAACCAGCACTATCATTCCTTCAGGGATTTCAAGAAACCTGCATTTTGATACTCGGGTTTTTCCGCAATACGTTAAACGATAATAGAGATTAAGAAAATCTACAGATATAAATCAACAGCACTTCTAAATACAATAAAATAAAAACGCATTTAGCAGTTAATAAAGTATATTCCACTGCCTTTCCTAATTTCCCACCCATAAAACCCCTATAATCACCGTTGCCGTAGGGCAGAATACTGGGAATAGGGGTATATGAGGTGCAATACTCAAACTATTGTTGCCAAAGTTTATTTTAAGAAACAAACTCAGGCATATAATTATAGGTCTCAGGAAAGAGCTGTTGGACGAAGCTACAAAAGGGGTCGATGAGCAACATTATATTGGATCAAGGAAGTGCCCTGCGGATTTTTGGAACTGAACAGTCATCGCTTCCTCATAATTCACACATCACCATTCTTTCCGTTTATACAGGAAGTCAATTATTTTCCAAAATAAACTTTCCAGTTTATCAGAGTTAATCAGTAAGGCTATCAATGGGTACACCCAATAATTTTCGACAGAGGATAAACATAGTGTTAATTTCTCAAGCCGAGTACTATGAGAAAGAAACTTTCGTAGGTCTTCCAGAATTGAGGGAATTTATTGCAAAGTCAAAAACGCTCTCCTAGTCCCCACTACACCCACGCCTAGAAGAAGAACCGGAAAAATCATAAATTAACCGAACTTAAAGGAACGTTCTGGATTTTACACGGTTTTCCTCTAATGCTCAAATTTGCCTCAAAATGCAATCGTGCGCTCTTGAAGCATTCACAGAAGGGACGCTAGATCAGTTAAGACGGCAACAAAAAAGAGTGCAAAGTTCTCGTTGCATTTACCAAAGGACAGCGTCAAAATAGACTTGCGCAGCTGTGAATGACCTACCAATATTTTTAAGCACCGGCATGGCTTCGCCAGTGAGCATAGATTCGTCACAGGCAGAGCTTCCGCTTACGACTCGGCCGTCGACGGGAATCCTTTCACCGGGAAGAATCTAAAAGCCAAGGGTAGAGGCAGACTGGTTAATAGGTCCAAAAAACGACAGTAGACAAACCTGACCGGCGATTTTCAGGTTTAACTGCCAAAATGAACTTTTCTGGAACCAAAACAGAGTGATATGTCCCAAATGGCTGAGTAAGTCCGTGAATGATTGTGAGCAGTGCAAGCAGCCGGCGCTCCTGGCCTTAGTTCGTCAGTCTAAGCGCGACGGAACCACAGGTGACC